CCATGAGGGCTGGTGACACCCACCGATGCAGGCCTGGCATCACCGGGACCGGGGGTGTCCACCCGGGGGGAGCGTGGGGGCCCTGGGGCCCTGGGGACCTGGTAGGGCGTGGTCATCCAGTCCGGCATGGGGGCCTGCATCTATGGGGGTTGGGGGCACCCAGCCAACTAGGGCTGGGGACAGTGCACATCTGGGGCCTCCAGCCACGGGAGACCCTGGCTGGGGCTGGGGTCCTGGCAGGGGCTGGAGGCTATGGGGGTCCCTGTTGGGATGGGATCAGCCTGCCTGGAGTTGATTCAGTCAAGCTGGGAAAGGTGTGATGGAGGGTTGGGTGCTCAGGAGGGCTGGGGAGGCAGGATGGCAGTGGCCCAGTTGGCCTAAGGAGGGAAGGAGCAATGGAGAGCCTGGCGAGAATGGGGGACAGTGTTCAGGGATTGACCGGAGAGTCTGGGAGCATCTGCAACTGTAAAGAGACACTGGACAATCCAGCCAAGGTGGGAATGGGCCACCCTGGGGCTTGGATCCTGGCTACAGGAGTGGAGGGAGCTATATGAGAGCTTGCTGAAGTGGAAGGGCTGGTTGTTGATAAAGAAACATAGAAGGGGAGTTCAGGCATGGCAGAGAAAGCCTGGATGAAGGGGTTGGGTGTTCAGGGATGGACAGGACTGAGACGCAGTGCTCAGGGGCTGAAAGACACCTGCCCGTTGGGTGGGATGAACAGCCTGGTGAGTCACTGGGAAACCCAGTCAATGCTGGCTGGCTAGGACAGTTTGCTGGGATGTTGTGTGCTCTGGAGGTTTCTGCCAGGGGCTGGGGAGATGGAGGACAGTCTGGGCTGAAAAGAAGAGAAAAGAATAGACAGTGGGAAGGGCTGGAAGTGGAGTTTTGATGCTGATGAGAGAAAGAGAGGACCCAGGGATGAAAGAAGTGTTCAAGATGAGAAATTAATTGTTTGAAAGGGAGCTATGTGGACTGAAGGGAGGAATTGGGGTCTTGAGTGCAGTGAAGGATCTGGTTAGGGTGGGGGCAATGCTGAGAGGTGGGTGAGGTGGTGAGGGTGTAGTGTAGTCTGAAGCGAGGTTGAAGTAAGGTTGGATGATGGCCTGGGGTGTTGGAAACAACTTGGGTTTAGATGCCAGGATAGTTGGGGTGGGACAAGTGGGATGCTGGCAGAGCCCAGCAAGGACTGGAGGATAGGGCTGGGGCTGCCAGGTGAGGGGGGTGGCAAGAGAGCGCTGTGGTAGGTGGGGGAGCTGCTGCTAAGGATGCGGCATCTGCAGAGAGCACAGGCAGAAGGAAGTAACAATGGGGAAAGAGCTTTCCCAAGGGCAAAGCCGTGTTTTCTCCAGGAGCCCTCTGGACGCAAGCTGGATTCATGCAAGTGGACAGCACAGGAGGAGATGCAAGCAAGAGCAGCAAAGGCAGCTCCTCATCTTCTCTGGGTTAATTCTGACTGTGTCCCCACCTGCTGGGCCACAGAGAAAGAGATTGAGATAAGGTCTGTGGGACCTGCTCTATTTTAGGTCACTTGATGATGGAGCATGTCACACCAGGCACCGAAGCCATCACAGGGTAGACATCTGCTGTAAAGATGAGGGCAGCTGCCTCCAGCAGTGCAGTGCTTTGTGGGACACATTTGGCCTGCAGCTGCTGCTAGCCAAATCTGCTCTTCTGCCTTGTGATATCCAGATAAGCTGGTGTAGTCTGGGATCTGGCCGCTGTTATCTGAGCACTTTGTGTGTGGAGAGAGAGGGCTGGGTGTTTTCCAGTGTTCATGTTATTTGATACAATATTTTACTGCCTCTTTGTCTATTTTCCATTTCTGGGAGTTGTTTTTTGAATTGCAGCCTCTCAGGCAGGGTGGGTGTTGCTTTGGGGTGCCTGGTGGGCTGGCTGGGCAGGGCAGAGGACTGCAGAGCTCTGAACTGTCTCTCTGGATTCTCAACTTTCACTAAGCCAGAATAATCTTTGGTGGTAGAAACTCTCTGAAACACCAGCAAATATATCCAAAGCAGCTATGGCAGCCTGGGGGTGTGGGTCAGCAGTCAGAAATGATCCAGACAGCTTGATGTAACAAGTTACTGCTTGTCATCTGAGCCGTGGTGGTTGCCCGTGAGCGTGTTTCTGGCATGTCACGATTGCATTGGGAAGTGCTTAAACCCCCTTCAACGACTGCTTGTTCCAGCTCCAGCGATAAGAGGGTTAATGCTGAGGTTTAAATTATTTCAGTGTTCATCCAAGTGAGTAAGTGCAGAAGGGAAGCGTCTCCTCCTGCAGAGCATACCAGCATTTCTCACAGCTGTGGGACAGGGGTGGTGGGAGGTCATAGGTGGAGCATGGAGGGAAAGATGAGCCATAAAACTGCATAGCATGAGGGATGTGTAGCGCTGAAGCCTTGGCGCCGTCAAGCAGCATCTGTGGTGGGCTCACAGCGAGGGCGAGGGGAGGCTGCTACATGAAAGGGTACGCAGCTTTCCAAAGTTTAGGAAGTGTTGTGTGAAGCAGGGCTTGTGGCTTCCTCGTCACTGTAATAACAATCTTTACTGAGTGAGATGGCATGCTATTGATAGATGGTGGGGCCAGAGGATGGCCGGTATTTTTCTAAAACTGTTGATTGAAGGTGACATCATCGTGTCAAAACCAGGGTTGTCAAAGTGTGGCCCCGTTTTACAGTTGAGGAAGCTCAGTCATGGAGTGTCTAGCTGACACTAGGCAGATCTGGTGGAGAGGATGAAATACCAGCAGAGCTAAATGCGTAGTCAGGCAT